GATTAATTGTTCATTATTTATTTATTAAACTCATATGTTACCCATCTTGCTGCACGCGACTCTATATAGCTTCCAAACAGTTTGCATGTAATATAAAACATTAAAACAATAAATAAGAGATCTTAAATTTAAAAGTCAGTTAAAATAATATTGACCTAGATGGAGAGGAAGGAAGCAAAGTGGGGAGAAGGTGGGTGTTATCTTTAGACACCTCCAAAATTCACACATTGGGGCCCGAGGCTAGTTGGCACAGCCATGTTCCAATCCTTCTTGGAAGGCCAATAGAGTAGGTGTGGATCTCACCTCAGGAGGCATGATGTTCCAGAGGGCAAGAGCCATGGCAGAAAAGGCTCTTCTTCTGGACCCTGCCAGCTGAAATTCATTGACCAATAGGGCCCACAGCACGACCCTTCTGCTGGGGAGGATGGGCTAGTCCCATTATGGCGAGCCAGTTCCTCAGATAGCCTGGACCCACAAATATCTTGAATTGGACCTGGAAGCAAATTGGCAACCAATACAGCTCATAGAACAGCAGTGTAACATAGGCCATCCTAGGGGGGGCTCAAGAACTGCCTATACAGCTGTGTTTTGCACCAACAGAAGCTTCTGGATACTCTTCAAGAGTAGCTCCATATAAAGCACATTGCAGTAGTCTAAATGTGAGATGACCAGGGCTTGAGTGATTGAGTGCATGGATTCCCAATCCAGAAAAGGGTGCAGCTGGGGCACAACACAAAGTTGCACAAAAGCTTTCCTAGCCATGACTGCCACATGTCCATCAAACAGGAGTTGTGAATCCAGGAGAACCTCAAAATTGTGCACCAAATCTATCTAGGATAGTGTAACCCCATCCAGAACTGAATGTGCTCCACACACCCAAAGCCACTTAATCTTACCAGGGTTCAGCCAAAGTCTGTTGTCCCCCATGCAGACCCCTACCAGCCTGTAGACATTGTAAGAAGGCAACAACAGCATCACTTGGGTCACCCAGGATGGAGATGTAAACTTGAATATAATCAGCTTACTGATGGAACTTCATCCCAGGATGATGATTGATCTCGCCCAGTGGCTTTATGTGCATGTTAAAAAGGAGTGGAGGGGGTATGAAGCCCTGCGGCACACCACAAAGGAGTGGGCAGGGACTGGAATTCTCACTTCCTATCAACACTGATTGGGACCAAGAAAGGAGTCAAACTAGCACAAGACTGTGCAATCTAACCCCACAATCTATAAGCAACCCCAAAGTATTCCATAGTTAATGGTATCAAAGGCTGCTGAGAAGTCAAGGAGAACAAGGATGTATCCATTATCCCATATCACTCTCGCTAGAGATCATCAAGTGCAACCAATGCTGTTTCTGTCCCATAACTAGGCATGAAACCTATCCCTTTCATCCAGGACCTTCTTAAGCTACCATACAACTACTTTCTCTACCATCTTCCCTACAATGAGAAGGTGGGAGGCTGGATGAAATTGTCCAGACAGATGGGATCAAGAAATGGTTTTTTGAGGAGGGACAAACCAGGGCGTCTTTAAAAAGTCCCAGAATTATCTCCGGTAATGAACTATTTGTCACTGCCTGAACCTGCCTGGCTGTCACCATCCTTGACTTTCACCAACCAGGAAGGACAGAGATCTAATTGATAGGTGGTTGCACTGACAGCATCAAAGACCCTGTCCATTTCAGCAGGTTCAACAGGTCAAATTATTCCACGATAACCAGATAAGATCTTTCCAGGCATCTCAAATGGATCTGCACCATGCATGGGTTCCAGCTGGGAATGAATCCAAGCAACCTTGTCCATTGAGTGTTTAAATTCCTCTGCATGGCCCTGAATATGAATATCTGAAACCTCCTGTCCCAGGAGGGACTGGGTGATCCTGAACAGGGCCACTGGGAGCACTTTGCAGACATAATAAAAGTGGAGTAACAGTGGTGTTTTGCTGCTCTTACTGCCATGAAGTAGGGCTTAATAGCAGCTCTAAGTCATGTCCAGTTGGATTCAACCCTTGTTTTCCTCTAGCAGCGCTCTAGATGTCTCTTAGTTCTTTTAAGAACCGTAGCTCCTCCATGATATATCCCATTCTATTCTTTTACTTTCACCTAAAAGTCAGCAGAATTGCAGTCTTAATAATAAACCACCCACCAGATTTTGATTTTGCTAAAATAAATGTAATCCTGAAATATTACTTTATATACAATCCTCACTTCATGTACAAGTAAAGAACTTAACATCCTTCATGTTAATTCAATGGACTTATTAAATTTGATTCAGATATGCCTGCAAAATTTGACTAATTTAAATCAATTGATTTAATTTGTTAAATATCCACACACTTTTTTTTCAAATGTGTTTCTAAACAGATTGGATATCTGACTTGCCTATAGAAGAAGCAAATTCAGGCTTAGCAAACAAATGCAGTGTAAACAACGTATCCTATAAGTTGGGATAATGATTCAGTCCATAAATGTCAGATCAGTAATGATTCATTCTATATATGTTTAATCAATGCGTCAGCTTCACATATATTCCATCATGGCATTTATAATGAACAAATGTCTGGCAGTGCCACAGGGTAAAGTAGAACTTGGAATCTCTGATAATCTCTGAGTGACATCTGGCCCATGGAGGTGGGGATGGAATAAAAAATATGTTGGGATGTCAGGATGTAAGTATGAAAGGGATGGGATTTATGACATTATATTTTCATTTTTTCATCATCATAGTGCGTAGCAGCCATCTATGATAGGATCTTTCTCAAAGTGATAGAAGTGGAATTAGCTTCATCCATTGCAAAAAGTGAATTATTACGACTTTATATTTTATGTAGAAAATGTGTGTATCTCAAAAAGATGCATATTTTATTTCTGCTTACACTTATGTGAATTGTGAGTTAAAACACTTTCATAATGTCTGAGGGTTAAGTTCTATAAGAGATATGCATGTGAGTGTGCACACAGCAGAATATCAGATAATATTCCATCATATAATATTCCATTATATGGAAGCTTGTAACTTTCATATATATATGCAATGTAATTAGTTGATCAGCCATTGTTCAAATGTTTAATCATCCAAGATATCCCTACATAGCCAAATATAAAATTGGAATCCACACAAACTACTTTTCATTTTGATATTATTAATTGAATTTAGAAGACTTCAATAATCCTAATGCAACCAGAACCTTAATTTAACAAAAAAAGCATTTTGTGGAAGTCCACTGGCCATCTTAAAAGAAGGCTAACACTGTCAGGCCCAAAACCAAGAATGACACTTGCCAGTTCTTCCAAGGTGAGATTTTTATTGTTTCACACCTATAGACAAAATCTTGCCAGACTGAGAAGACTTTACTATCCGCATCTACAATATGTAAACTATTAGGGAGCGTCTCTCTTCACCCTCTTTCTCTCTCCCGTAATAACTGGGCCAAGTAGACTCTTACTCCTCTGGAATGCAACCCCTCCCTCCTGGGGATCCACTTTTTCAGTACATTCCATCACAAAAACCACTGCCTTCTAGTTATCAACTCCTCCTTCTGGCAGCAGTACTATTATCCCCTGAAAAGGCTCTCTGAAGACTATTGACAAAGTAACCCAAAGTAACTCGCTTGGTGAAAACATATTGGAGGGTGTAATCTCAAAAACAAAACCCCACCATATTATTGATGCTACTAGTCATACTTCCTAAAATAATTGCATGTTTCATGACATGTAGTCCTTTAAGCAAACACACGTACATATAATGTCAGCTACAAATCATTTTTATCAATATTTCTAAGATTATAACGAATATAAGGAAAACATTTTCTCATAATTACCACATGATGAACAGTCAAATTGCATAATAATTTACTAAGAGTGTATCAGTCTTTTTATCAAATTAGATGAATAAGCAAGACATAGCATAATATCGTTTGACTAATGTTTATTCAGGATTAGGTTTTGTATTCCAGCAGCAAGGATAATACTATCAGCCAATCATTCTATACAGAATTCAATAAAAATTATCTGGAGGGTTGTACAGAGCTTTGGACTGAATTACAAAATGGTGTTGTAGAATGTAAGAGGCACAAATGTAGCAGCTGTTTGCAACTCCTTCAAGAAAGTATGTCTTGTCCTAGAATTGTGAGGCAGTTGCACAGGACAGTTATAGGCTTCCTGGGAAAAATGTAGCTCTTCCAAAGAGCTAAGGAATTGAATTCCTCTGCATTTATTTTACTGGATGTCAAAGTAAATCCATATGCATCAGAGCAACTGAGCACACCTCACATTTATGTGCCAGATAGTAATCATCTACTCATATCCGTAATAGTATACTCCAATATATTACACAGAGGACTGAATCTTGAAACCCTCAATATTAAATTACAAAAAGAAGGGTCTAAGATATTTCTACACACAAGGGTAAAGGATGGGGTATAGGGTTAACTTCAGATATTTATTTCATCATCATTGATGGGCTACTAAACTCATAGCTGATTACTGCACATCACAAAATTAATCTGACATTTAATACTTTTAAATGGACATTTGTTTAACATCCCTGGTAATTTCTAATCTTAGTAAACTAGTTCCTATCAGATAGAATTACAATGATCCAGAATCTTTTAGCCCTAGCTATACGCATTCCTATGGGAGTAAATAGTACTGCTATAGACTGTCTTGCCTTTTATACTTTTGCAGAGAGCACTTTTTGAGTGCATAGAAGGAAAATAATGTTTCTGTCAGACAACAAAACGATAATGCTCCTGAGACCACCTTCTTAATACTCTTAAAATTGTTGTCCTTCATAAGGGCTTTTCTAGAAGCTTAGATAAGGAAAAAAGTAGGAGCTGAAAAGAATTATTGTAGTCTAATTTATTTCCCAATAAACATGCATATCAACATTGCATTCTTAATTAAATATGCTACCCATGAAACAATTACTAGTATCTTACTGCCTCATCAAGTTAGACAATTACATATATTGTTGTTTTTCAAAACAAAATGCCCTTGCCTTGGAATGATAATCTTGCTCCAGCCTGGAATCTGATCCTGCTACATGTTTGTACTTGTTCATTTTCATTTGACGATTTCTCTCTTCAACATCCAGAGTACCTGTCAAGTGCAAAATAAAACCAGTTTCAGCATTCTTAACCAAAATGGAGAACATTTAAGATTTATTCAAATATAACTTAAAAGTTAAATCTATGATTTTGTTTTGATGAGTAAAACAGCTTAATTGACAAATATCAAAAGACCATTATGAATGTAGCTATTTTAATTTCGACCATGTAAGTTATAATGTTTTAATTTAGGGTTAAGATTGCACATAAATTATCAAATGGGAGGGGGGGAAATCAATGCCTTTTTACAAAAACAACACACTGAAAACAGAAAAGTTTGAAAGGGGTAACATCTACTATTCATCTATATCATTTTAAAAATCATATAGCAATAACACAGGCCTGGCTAGTTTAACTGTAACATGAGCAGGTATTTCTATTATTTTAAATGCATTGGATTCTATTATTCATGCATTGGACGAGCTCTGAAGGATAACAACTGAAATGCTGGAAAATTTGGCTGGATTCTTTGTGAGGTGGTGTTTTTTTTGTAATATTTGTAATTTTTTTTATTTTAATTTTTTGTGCCCAGTATTTGAAAGGTTTGCCAGTTCCTGATTTGGAACATGCTAATATATTATGAATTATACATGTATCATTTGTAAATCTTGAAAAATAGGTTGACTTTAATTTTCTAAGACTACTTCTTTAAAGAGGAAACCTCTAAGCAGAAAATTGCTTTTTTTTTCCCTTCGGCAAATAAGTAATATTTGAGATCAAATGTCAGACAAAAGCAGATGAAAGATAACATTTTGAAGGAAATGCTAACAAAGGATGCCAACAAAATGTCTACTTAAGCCATATCATACAATGAGCTAGTAGTAGTCTAGACAACTACTACAGACTTTTTGCTCTGACTTCTACTTGGAGAAACAAAACTGCAACAGGCTTTGTGAACTATATAAACAACATCAAAATTGAAATCTGTGAGAAGCAAGAGAGAACAAACAGATGAGGGTGTTTTTCAAAATAGACTCCTTTTTTCTAAACCATTAAATAAATATAGAAAACGCTGAATTACACCCAGCATTCAATAATTGTAATTAAGAGAACTGCACATGTAATTTGCATATCAATCACAACTGAGCTCAGCACAATGTTTTAAATATATATGTGCATAAATTAATAAACAGGACAACAGAATGAGGTCAGTCAAAGTTTTCAGGTGTAATATTAACTTTTAGAGGTGAATTATATGATTGTAAGATATAAATTGAAATGTTTTTTTTCAGACTAGAATAAACATTGGAAAACGTCTTTCATGACATTACAGACAGACAATTAAAACAGTGACATTATGGTTTACCCAGTTCTTGCTCTAGTGAATTATTACCTTGGCTGCCTTTCTCTTTCTCTTTTATACTTATACAATAAATGAACACTGAGAAAGACAGTGCTTTGGAAGACTTAACAAAATGCTGAGTGAAAAGAATAGATTATTGGTTAAACACAACTGCCTAGTCAGCAGTGATATTGCAGTAATTAGTTGGGTAGCACATGTGGACAGACAAGAAAAGAAACAAATGGGTCATCAAACAAATCAATCCAGAGTTTTCACAACAGGCACAAATGACCAGGCTTAAATTATCCTTTGGACACACCATGTGAATATTAGCTTTCTAGAGAAGGCTCTAATGCTGGGAATGGTAGCAAGAAAGAGAAGAGTACAACCAGCAAAGAGAATGGACTCATATGCGATGAATGCATCGTTGGAAGGTTAGACTAAGTGGCTTTGGGTTATTCACCTCTCTCCCCACAGTCTGGTGAGTTCTTATCTTTGCACTGCCCTGGAGTGAGTTGGTGTGCAATCTGGGGTCCTCCTGGACTTATGTCTCCTGCCTGATGAGCAGGTGGCAGCCATGGCTGGGGAAGGGTTGCGCCATAATTGCACCCTTTCCTGGATCAGGAGGCCTTGCTCACAGTCACCCATGCCTTAATCACCTTCCTGGTAGAATGCAAAGCCAGATGAGCCCTAGAAAGCATTGTCAACAACAAAGATGATGCTGTTAAAGTATTGTACTCAATATGCCAGAAAATTTGAAAACTATGGTCACAGGATTGGAAAAGGTCAGTTTACATTCCAATCCCAAAGAAGGGGTACCAAAGAATGTTCAAGTTATCGTACAATTGCACTCATTTCACACACTAGCAAGGTCGTGCTCAAAGTCTCACAAGCTAGGTTTCAGCAATATGTGAACTGAGAATCATCAGAAATACAAGCTGGGTTTCAAAGAGGCTGAGGAACTTGAGATCAAATTACCAACATTCACTGGATTATGGAGAAAGCAAGGGAGTTCCAGAAAAACATCTACTCCTGTTTCATTGACTATGCTAACGTCTTTGATTGTGTAGATCACAACAAACTGTGGCAAATTCTTAATGAGGTGAGGGTACCAAACCACCTTACCTGTGTCCTGAGAAATCTGTGTGCAGGTCAAGAAGCAACAATTAGAACCAAACATGGAACAACTGATTGGTTCAAAATAGGAAAACGAGTACAACAAGACTGTATACAGGTAGTCCTTGACTTACAACCACAGTTGGGCCCAAAATTTCTGTTGCTAAGATACTTGTTAAGTGAGTTTTGCCCCATTTTACAACCTTTCTTGCCAAAATTGTTAAGTGAATCACTGCAGGTATTAAGTTAGTAACACAGCTGTTAAGTGAATCTGGCTTCCCCACTGACTTTATCAGAAGATTACAGAAGATGATCATGTGATCCTGGGACAGCACAACTGTCATAAGTAAATTCAGATGCCAAGCATCTGAATTTTGATCATGTGACCATGGGGATGCTGCAATGGTCTTAAGTGTAAAAAAAAGTCAGAAGTCACTTTTTTCAGTGCCGTTGTAACTTTGAACGGTCACTAAATTAACTGTTGTAAGTCGAGGACTACCTATATTTTCAGCCTGATTATTTAATTTATATGCAGAGTACATGATACGAAATGCTGGCTGGATGAATTATAAGCCGGAATTAAGATTGCTGGGAGAAATATCAACAACCTTAGATATGTGGACTTAACCACTCTAATGGCAAAAAGTGAAGAGGAACTAAAAAGTCTCTTGATGAGGGTGAAAGAGGAGATTGCAAAAGTTGGTTTGAAACATTAAGAAAACTAAGATCATGGCATCGGTCCCATCTCTTCCTGTTAAATAGAAGGAGAAGAAACAAAAGCAATGACAGATTTTATTTTCTTAGGCTCCAAGATCACTGCAGACAGCGACTGCAGCCATGAAATTAAAAGACGCTTGCTCCTTGGGAGGAAAGCTATGGCAAACCTAGAGAGCATATTAAAAAGCAGAGATATGGCCTTGCCTACAAAGGTCTGCATAGGCAAAGCTATAATTTTCCCAATAGTAATTTAAGACTGGACCATAAAGGAAGACTGAGCACCGAAGAATTAATGCTTTCGAATTGTGGTGTTGGAGAAGACTCCTGAGAATCCCTTGGACGGCAAGGAGATCAAATCAGTCAATCCTAAAGGCAATCAACCCTGACTGTACTTTGGAAGGATAAATACTGAAGCTGAAGATCAAATATCTTGGCCACCAAATGAGAAGAGAGGATTCATTGGAAAAGATCCTGATGTTGGGAAAGAATGAAAGCAAAAGGAGAAGGAGACAGTAGAGGATAAGATGGTTAGATGGTGTCATTGATACAATGAACATGAATTTGGGCAAACTCCAGGAGACAGTGCAGAACAGGGGGGCTTGGAGTGCTATAGTCCATGGAATCACAAAGAATCGGACACAACTTTGTGAATGAACAACAAACCACATAAAAAAACAACCTCCTCCCCAAAAAATCTCCTTCAAAAGTGAAAAAAAACCTACACTAAATTAAAATTAAAAGAGCAAACACCAAGTATCTACCTTATTTTTTCTAAATATGTGTTTATGTATATAGAAGCCCACTCAAAGACAGATTGATTTCTAAAACATTAATTAAACACAGACAATACATATTGTCCAGTCTTGCCTCTTTGTCAATACAAAAGTAATTGTCAGGTCCCCAAATCCTGATTCTTTTCCCTGCATATGTACTCTTGTTTGGGGCTGCCATTCTGCTGGGAGGGGGGATTTGCTTTCACTTGGGATAACTTTCGCTTTCTACTTTTCCTCTCCCGCCTCTATCCACTTGAGAAAAGACTGTGCCTCCCTTATCAGGGGGACATTATGGAGAAATGAAACTGGAGAAGACCTTGAGATGCGCGCCAACTGTGCCAGTTACCCAAACATCATGCCACCTGTGGATTGGCTGGATTTCAAATGGATACTACGACTTTGGTGGAAGGAGGAAGACTGCTTGTTTAACTATACCGTTTAAGCGGGATTTTCCCCAGATCTTGCCTTGACTTCCCTACTGTCACTAACCCCTAATAAAAGTTCCTTTTGAGACAATGCCAGTTTCAAGAGTTCTACTTTCTTGGGTGGTTAGCTGAGGTGGGACCTTACAGTAATTCAAAGAAGGAGAGCTGACTAATTTTGTTAAGCTGACATTTAGCAACCGGAGGAATATAACATTTTTGATGAGTACATAATCATCTTTTTTGCAACACTCCAAACCCTATCTATCTGATGTTTTTCATAAGGTGAAATATTTTATTGATATCCATGACTTTATTGGAGCTGTCCTGAATTGATAAATAGATAGATAGATAGATAGATAGATAGATAGATAGATAGATAGATAGATAGATAGATAGATAGAGTTATATTTCAATCAAATGCTGACATATGTAGCCTTTAACTTTTTGAAGCATCTGGTTCACCATAACAATAATATCTAACTAACATGGAATCAGCCAGTTTGGCTAAGATATCAGGCTAGAAACTGGAAGATTGTGAGTTTTAACGATGCCTTAGGCACAAAGCAATTGGATGGTCTTGGGTCAGTAAATCTCTCGCAGCTCTTGGAAGAAGGCAATGACAAACTGCTTCATAGCATATATACTAAGGTTCTGTCAAATTTATTACACTTCTAGCAAA